TAGTGGTCAAGTAGTGGTTTTTTGTTTTCTTGAAACTTAAATTAAAATCTGCTTTCTGGCTGGGCATGGTGGTACACACCTGTAATCCCAGCACTTGGGAAGCCGAGGCAGGAAGATTGTTGCGAGTTCAAGGCCTGCCTGCTATATAGTGAGTTCAAGGCCAGCCTCAACTACACATATGATGCCCTGTCTCAAAAAACCAAAAAGAAAAAAATCTGTTTTCTGTTTCTGGCCCAAAACAGTGTGGTCTGACACAGTTTGACAGTAAAAGACAGGAATAAAGTATATACTCTTTTTCCTTTTCTTGCAGCTTGAAAATAAGGAACTCCGAGAATTATTATCCATCAGCAGTGAGTCTCTTCAGGTCAGAAAGGAAAACTCAGTGGACACTGCTTCCCAACCCATCAAATAACTGAACTGCAGAGAGCTGCTGGAGATTGCCCATATAGGAAGGAAGTCCTCGTTTCTCCGTTTGAGTGTTGTCCTTTCAGTGTCTTGCCTCAGACTTGACTTAGAGCTGACTAAAGGTGTCCGGCGGCAGTGCAGAATCCTAGTCAGACCTGCTGCCGACGGAGCAGGTGTTGGGCGTGTTAGAATATACACTGAGTTTCACCATTCCTTTCTCTAAGAGGCTACTTTTCATTTTTATTTCTGGGACCTTGATTTATATAAACTTTATTTTCAGTTCATTTTTGTTTTTTTACATCTTTGAAACTTTGAATATTTTATTATAAGCCAATTATTTTATCTTACATTATATGAGATGATAAAATACACTTCTAACAATTTTTAAAAGAGAATTAACTTTCTAAATCTATTTGGCATAGGCTGAATTTTTTCCATCTGACAAAAGTAATATGACTGCACAGAACTACGTTGGCAGATTCCGATTTGTAGTGTCATTTATCTGGGACCTTTTGGGTCTCTGGTGCTCAGAGTTGGCACGCTCTGGTCAGGTGTCTTCACTCTGGATTTGAGAGAACCTACTACTACCATAGTCCCAGGGAATGGATCTGAAAACAAGTGATAATATAACTGTCATATCGTTCAGAGAGTGCTGAGGAACTTGCCCTGTGTATGTGCACACATACGTGCATGTAATTTAAATACCAAAAGATTTCTTTTATTTGATTGAATATAAGTAGTCTTTGGCTGGGAGGTATAGCTCAGTGGTAAAATGCTTGCCTAGCATGTACCAGGCCCTGGGTTTAGTCTCTAGCTCCTCAAAATAAATGCATAATTTTTACTTTCTAAGAAGTCTTCCATTTAGGTAGTTTGCCTATGTGTGAAGAGCAGAACATATCATAGCTTTATGTGCAGCATAGTTGTTAGATACACATATATGCATACATACATGTATATATAACTTTTATACTTAAGAACCAACACTTCTTAAAATTTCTTTACTAGCACTAATAGTTGGCTTTTTTTTAAGATGTGTTCTTTTGCATGGAAGTGTTTTTATTACCTAAAGAGAGTTGTTAACATTTATAATGTTGTGTAAGCTAACAGCAAAGCAAAACTGAGATTCAAATGCTGAGTTGTTAACAAAATTCACTTAACTCATTCTCCTGTCTCAGTTACTCGTATTATAAATTTATAAAACCCACCAGTTATGTCATCCATTTAGGTTTACCCAAAGTATCTGAAACAGTGGATGCTAAACCTGTCAATATTTTCCAGTAACATTACACACCATACTGCATGAGAGAAACAGTGTTAAAAAGTTATTTGTTAGTGCTTTGTGCTGTAAATTTCTTTTGTACTGCTCTAACGAACTAATTCCAGATGAAACAACAAAATCTCTGCAAGGTGTTAAGTATCTGATCCCTGCAGTACCGATGAACTTTGCTAGAGGGAGCAGTAGGCAGAAATAGGCATACATCATTTTAGAAATTTTCAAGTTTCTTATCTGATGGGCTGCAGAGATTTAACTGCAAATACTTCCACCCCAAAGGGACAGCATTTTTGTTTCATTTCCTAAGAGTAAATAAATTAGTCGAACTGTTTGCCTTGAAGTATGCCCCAAGTGCCCTAGGTTGTTCCCCAGTCCACTCAGGAGGCAGGTATACTGTATCATTTATCAGTCACTATGACCAGGTTTCACAGAAACTGTTAAATTTTTCCATAAGTCCATTAATATATAATATGGTGTTCCTTTACTGGCCTTATGCTCCTTTAGAGCTCTTTATGGAGTACCTTACATCTCAGGTATCAAGATAAATTTATACGTTAACTTCCCCCCTGGAAAATCAGAAGCTTGAAATTTGAGTATAAAGAGCAGGTGAGGTAAGGTGGTGCACACCTTTAATCCCAGCACTTGGAAGGCTGAGTCAGGAGGATCTCCATGAGTTCAAGGCCAGCCTGGACTACATAGTAAGTTCAAGACCAATCTGAACTACATAGTGAGATCTTGTCTCAAAAAAAAAAAAGAGTATAAAGAGCTTTCAGTGCTCTACATCATATAAACTCTAGCTAGTATCAGTGCTGTGAAGGTAATGTGTAGTTACAAAATTGAATGGATGAGGAATATTAATTTCTTTTTTGCAGTGGGTGAAGGGAATTGACTGACATGCAAAATTCTAGTATGAAATTATTTCTAATAAAAGGCTGTTTTTGAGAACATTAGTTGGTTTTTGGTTTTGTTTTGTTTTGAAGACAGTGTCTCACGATGGAATTCAGGCTGTCCTTCAAGTCACAGCAATCCTCTTACCTCAGCTTCCCAAGTGCTGGGAGTACAGGCATACACCACCACATCTGATACATTAGCTAATTTTACTCAGTAATGAGCCCAATTAGTAGGAAGTACAGAGTGGTTTTCTTGTCACCCATATAGCAACCTAGTTAAATAATTATGACAAAGTTTTCTTAAATAGTTTATAATTAGCACAGTCTATTTAGCAGAGTAACACTACAAGTAGCATCTTATACTAATAAGGTATTAATTACAGCAGTACCTTACACATAATTCAGACATTCAAGATATTTTTCAGTGTTCCTCAAAGTACAGTTCATTGACCTGCTGAAGTAGAAATTTGAAGATGTGATTCCAGGAATGTGTATTTTAAAATCTTCATGGAGCTGGGGATTTAGCTCAGCAGCACAGCGCCTGCCTGGCAAGCACAAGGTCGTGAGTTCAATTCCTGGCATGGGGAAAAAAAATCTTCATAACTTTCAGTATAGTAGTTTATAAGACTATGTAGTCTATGTGTAAAGAATTTCATTAAGAGTTGAGTTGAAAATGAAAAGGCTTTGACACTTTCCAAAGATAAGTCTGGTGAGGGAAGACAAGCAAGTGCACATCTGATATAGTATGAATCCAATGTAAGCACCTACAAGAGACAGAAGAAGACTATTTAGACTTTAGACTCTCATAAGGACAGTGAACAGCTAGGAGCACAGCTAGGAAAGGTTGGTGCCATGGAAGAAAGTATGGAAGGTATTGCCAATAAAGTCAGGTACTAATATATAATCTCCATTTCAGCTGTACCTCATTTTACAGTTCCTCAGGCACAAGGAGGGTGTTACCCAAATGGGAACCATTCAAATTTAGGCACTCTTAAATACTTTCTTAACCAACAGATTAAAATGCTTTTAAATGCCAAATACTGTGTAGAGTTCATGGCAAAATCTATAACAGGGCCAGGCACAGTAATCCTAGCACTCGGGAGGCTGAGGCAGGAGGATTATTGTGAGTTCGAGGCCAGCTTGGGCTATAACGTGAGCCCAAGGCCAGCCTGAACTGCATAGTGAGACCCTGTCTCAAAAAAAAAAAAAAGAAAAAACAAAAAACTATAACAGGGCAAAAAAAACACCAACCTCATATGTTAGAAAATTAACTCTAAATGGAATCAACTAAGCTGTAATTAGTATCTGTTTCCTACAATGATATAGCTGAGGGTACATGTACATGTAACTGAAAGAAGCAGTGCTTAATCAGTAGTTCTTTGTGCACACAAGAAAGAATGCAATTCTGGCTTTCAAATCTGCTTCCAGCTTGCACTCCTGTAATCCCACATTCAGGAGGCCACAAGTTTGAGACCAGCCTGGACTACATAGTGAATTCAAGGCTAGCCTGAGCTACAGACCCTGTCAAAAAAACAAAAAGCAAAGCCCTGCTTCCTGACCATCATTCATGCTATTCTTGTACAGTTACTAGAAGGTTGCTGTCTTGCCCATGTCAAAAGCAAGAAAAAAGAATAGGAAACACATTATGGCGCTATATATATCACTTTTTATAAGAAAATCACAGCTTTTTCTAGAAATCCCAAGCAGACTTCCCCTTGCCATATTTGCTGGACCTGTTCAGTGTCCACTTGTAACTGCAAAAAGGGCTGAGTACATAGCTGCCCCAAATAAAATCAGTATTCTGTGAGCAAAAAGAAACCATATTGAGAAAACAACTGTGTTTGGCTATTACACTGTCAAGTCCTTGGGTACAATTTTTACCAAGTATAAGCATGAGCTGATGGAATACACTGATGGTCAATAGCCAAGGAAATCGGCTGTGGCAGACATCTGACCTTTATTGGTTGCCCCAGTAGCCTAACTCTTATATTAGAAATCCTGTACCTAATTGAGGCAGTGCCTTCCTCCCTCCTAGAAAACTTGAAAGTGCCAGAAACTGTACATGTGTTCCCAGCCTCCTTTACATCTAGGAAAGATACATCTGCCTTAAACATCAAAGTTAATGATACAGCTGGACATGGTGGCACAGGCCTGTAATCTCAGCACCTAGGAGGCTAAGACAGAAGAATCACAGTTTTAAGGCCAGCCTGGATACATAGTGACTGTGTCCAAAAATCAAACAAAGACACAGTGAATGACAGAGGAAAGCAGGAAACCATGCAGAATCCTCTGAATATGATGACCAGCAACACTGGCTATTACGTTCTGCTCCAACAAGAGGCAGCAACAGTGAGGTTTTCAGTGACTGCAGTCTGCGGTGTCAGCGGTGTCAGTGGCATTAGCTGCAGTATCTCTAACAGTGATACTGGGGTTCACTGAAGCAATTCTCTCTGATGTTAGAGAAGCATAATCCCCCTTTTCTTTGTCTCCTTTTCTCTCTCATTCTTTGTGTGCGTGCGTGTGTGTGTGTGTGTGTGTGTGTGTGTGTGTGTGTGTGTTATTGGGGATTGAACCCAGGCCTTACAAATGGCAGGTAAGTGCTCTACCACTGAGCTACATCCCCAGCCCTTTTGTAAATTTTTGAGACAGTCTCACTGAACTGTCCAAACTGGCCTCAAACTTTCAATCTTCCTCCCTCAGTCTCTGAGTAGCTAGATTATAAATGTGCACCACCACATCTGGCTGAAATTACACAACTTCTAATTCTGATTTCCTGGCTGTCTTAGAGATTTTGTGAATGACTTTTTAAAACATTCTTTGTTAAAATTAACCCAAATTTCCTATAACTATAAATGCTGACTAATAAGCATAGTTTAAAAATAAAAAAGAACAAGCATGCAGGCTGGGCATGGTGGTACATGCCTGTAAGCCCAGCACTTGGGAGGCTGAGGCAGGAGGATCACCTCAAGTTTGAGGCCAGGCTGGTCTACTAGTGAGTTCAAGGCCAGCCTGAACTACCTAATGAGACCATGTTCCCTTAAAAAAAAAAAAAAAAAAAAAAAAAGCACATATTTATTTTAACAGTACTTTGGCTCCTTCATTTAGCAGTACTTCATAAATTATTTTGCATTTGTATTTTACTCTAATATCTGACACTTATACAAGGATAAGTGTAGCATTCAAATAAATTATTAAGCACAATAGTTCATCACCTAACTTAATTAAAACATTACCAGTGCTGGAGCTGGGGGTATAGCTCAGTGGTAGAACATTTGCATGCATGAGTTTGATCTTCAGCCCCACCAGAACAAAACAAAATAAAGTATTATCAATATTTTGTATTTATGTATTTATGCTCCTATCTTTCCCTACTGCCCCTGCTCCATTTTATAATTGGTTTTAATCACAGGTTTAATCAAACCTAAAATGCATATGGTATACCTAAAGGGACTTTTTTAAAAAATATTTTTAGTTTCATTCTTTTTTTGCACTTTATAGAAGTGGTATCATACTTTATGCAGTCTAAGGGCTTTTGTTTCCACTGGGTTTGTTTCTAAGATTGGTACATGTTGTAAATAGCTGCAATTTGTTTCTTTTTATTATATATATTTCATTGTGTGATAATACAGTGTTATTAAATATATCCATACCAGCTGAAAGTGTAGCTCAGGGATAGGTGTAAGCCTAGCATACACCAGCCTCTGTGTTTGATTCCTAGGATTTAAAGAAGAAAACTATAATAATAAGTTTTTTTAAAATCTATGCTAGCATCCGACTGATTCCTAACTCTCCCTCCAACTACCTCATTTATGTTAACCACATTTAAGGAGGAGTCACATTTCATGTTTCTCAGTTAGCTATCTCACTGGTATATCATGACAACTTTCAGAGTGAGTGAAAGAGTGTCGCGTGTGAAGCAGTGGAAAGAGATCAATGCCTTTCCTTCTGTCATTCTCCATGAACTCTAGACGAAGCAGAACCTTCAAGGTTCCAGTTAGCTACAACTGTACTCAACACCGCATCCAACTTCCTAGAAATGTGTGTGGGATTAATGGGTGGGTTTTTGTATGTTACTGATCCTGAGATTCATTTTTACCTTATATCATCATCTCTGAAATTGGGACATGTCTCACACAAGGTTGTGACATGGTTGATTATAAGCATATGCAAAAGTCCTGGTGATACTGGAGGAAGTCACTGTTAGCATTAGGGGCATTTGAGAAAGAATAAGAGTTTGGGCTGGGTTTTTGTTTTGTTTTGTTTTGTTTTGTTTTGTTTTGTTTTGTTTTGTTTTGTTTGAGACAGGGTTTTGCTGTGTAGTTCAGTATAACCTCGAAGTCAAAGCAGTCTTGCTGTCTCAGCCTGCCAAGTGCTGGGATTTCAGGCGTGTGCCACCATGCCCAGCTGGCTATTTTCTGTGAACTTTTCAGACATTTTATAAGTTCAGCAGAGTGCCAGTGTGAAAATGTAAAGTGTGAAACCAGACATTGTAGTGTACACCTGTAATACCAGCACTCAGAAGGCTGAGGCAGGAGGATTGCTGAATTTTCAAGGCGAG